TGATGGTGATGGTGATGGTGATGGTGATGGTGATGGTGATGGTGATGGTGATGATGATGATGGTGAAGGTGATGGTGATGATGGTGATGATGATGATGGTGAAGGTGATGGTGATGATGGTGATGATGATGATGATGATGGTGATGATGATGATGATGATGGTGAAGGTGAAGGTGATGGTGATGATGATGGTGATGGTGATGATGGTGATGATGATGGTGATGGTGATGGTGATGGTGATGGTGATGATGATGATGGTGAAGGTGATGGTGATGATGATGGTGATGGTGATGATGGTGATGATGATGGTTATGGTGATGATGATGATGGTGAAGGTGATGATGATGATGGTGATAGTGATGGTGATGATGATGATGGTGAAGGTGATGGTGATGATTCTTCCTGAAACTCTTTTTGAGCTAAGGAGCTCACCAACAATCTAATATTTAAAACTTGTTCCTGATTCTGGTGTCGCATTGCCTTGGCCTAATTTCTTTGCTGATTTCTACCCTTGGCTATCTCTGGGTCCTGGAGGGAATCTTGTGTCTCTTGGACAGAAAATGAGGATGGGAACAATGTAGCTGAGGCTGTCCCTGGTACAAATGAGCTGTGGCCCACTTCTGGAGTTGCTAACACTGCTGTGAGCACCACCTCCATCTTTGCCCCTTCCTCAGGCCCCCCCATGTCTGGAAGGGAAGCGGGGCTGCAGGTGTCAGGAGCTGCTTCTAGAAGAGCAGGCTCTGTGACCCCGCCTTGTACCTTCTCCTTCCCCCCTCTCCTGGGCCTTCCTGGGCTCCCTCAGCCCGCTTCCTCCTCCCTCAGGAGCCAGCAGTCCGCAGGGTGCTTTTCATGTGTTTCTGATTTTGAAGACAAAGCCGCTCTGTCAATGGGCGCTGTGGTCTTGCCTCTGCAACGCACCGCCCACCCGAGCTTGGAGCAAACCAGGCAAGGCAGAAATAGGAGACGCTCAGGGCAGCCTCCCTCTTGGCTGTTTGTTCAGCGCATGCCCTCTGGGCTGCCCACAGACCATTCTGTACCTGTGGCCATGGAGCCGTGGGGCAGAGGAGATGAGTCAACCCACTGCCTGTTGGGAGTTCCCCATTCTGAAGCCAAGCTCACCAGACCCTGACTCCTATAATCATGGGGCTCATGCTGCCAGTACTTTGCCTTGCCTCCATGGGAGGCTTCAAAGGATGGGTTGGAGGCCTGTCTGACCCAGGCCTGGAGATGCCTCCCTAAGAAGGCCTCCAGGCTCCTCCTTCTGGGACTCAGGAGGAAGCAGCTGATGCCTCCACTGGCCCCTGGGTTCCTCTAGTGGGGGAATAGCTGTAAATAGTCCTCCCCCCTTCAGAGCCAGGCAGGGTCTCTCTGGGAGGCCAAAGAGAGCATGTCTCAGAGCTAGTGATGATGGCCTCCAGAGCCCTACCAAACTTAGTGATGAGCATGAGAGAAGAAAAGCCATGATGAGGAGGCTGGGAACGTTCCCAGGGCCCGTGGCCAGCTCACCCTCCAGGCCTGGATTCCACTGACATCACACCATTAGAGTAATCAAGGAAAAGCTGAATTTTTCTGGAGAAGGCCTGTTCTTTCCTGGCAGGGTGTCTTTGGAAAAGGAGACAACGTGGCCCCCACTGGAAAATGTTAACGCTCTCTTCCCCTGCCCAGGGAAAAGAGACCAGGCTGGGAAGCAATGGCCCTGCCTTCTTGAGCAGAATCAAAGAGGATAGAAGGGGAACCCAGGGGCCTGAGAGCATAAGGCCTTTGTCTCCCTGTGGAGGTGGGTGCTGTTCTCGGGGGTGGGGTGATTGGCAGGAATTTGGGTAACCCTCTGAGTACAATGAGTCAGGGCAGAATGGGCAGAATTAGGGTCGGGGTGAATCCTATCTTACTTGGAGTCAATACATTGTGTTTCTGTCTGATAAAAACATCCTGACCTTAAGGTACGTCTGAGGGTGACTGTGTGTGTGTCCACATGTGTATGTACACGTGTGTGCTCTGGCATGTCCATGATTGGTCAACTGGCTTTGTGACGAGGTCCCAAAGGAATGCACCAGAATCCTCAGAACGCCTCTGAGATGTGCAAGGCAGAATTGGGGGGAGGCTCTCCATTGCATATTCTTCTCTTCCTGAGGGTCTGTACACACAATCAATACAGGGGTGGGGGCTGGGGATTCAAAGACAAAGGACAAAACAGCATCTTCCTCCCTCGGTGGATTCTTGGGGTGTTTCCAAATCCCAGTGTTTAAGCAGGACAGGACCTTAGCGATGGCTTGGCCGGCCCTCCTGCTTTGAAAAAGTCAAGAAAGGTTAAGTGGTTGGCCAGGAGAAGAAGGATCTGGCTGTGCAGAGCCCAGCCCACGGGAGGGTCAGAATCCCCGGGCTTGTTTGATCAGAGGTGGATGGGGCGTTCATGGGTGTCTTCACTCTGCAGATATTGAAAGGAGACTCAGCATTTTTTCTCTCAGTGAACGGAGTGCGCCTGCTTTTAAAATGCCTGTGACGAGCTGTCAGTTGCACGGCCTGGAAGGCCTGACCCCACTTGAAGGCTCAGTAACGCATTTCATTCTAGACAGAGTGATTAGTGTCCACCCAGCAGGGCCTCTGGGCAGCCTATGTAGTCCATTGAGCCCTGGATGGAGAATCCCCTCTCTAACACCTCGTGGAAGCCTGTGCCTCAGTTTCCTCAGCTGTAAAGTGAGCACACCCTTTCCTCAGAGGGTTGCTGCGGGGCTCAGGTCACTTAAATTAAATTTAATTGAATCACTGAGCATTTATGAAGTTTCAAGGACTGGACATACAAAGAAAGGCAAAATACAGGCCGGGCTCTCAGAGAGAAGTGTGTTCTCCATCAGCTATTGAACCAGTCTTTTCAGATTGCTTTGGTTGCTTTCAGAATAAGAGCAAACAATGACGTGTGTTTGCAAACAAATACACGCGTTGTCTCACAACAGCCCGGCTCCCCATTCCTAAAGGCCACATCTTGAGTCGTGGCTTTCTCCTGGACCCTGCCAATCATGGAGCACCACTGCGATCGTGGAAGAATCTCAAGGGCTTGCAGGGTCCACACGCAGGAAGGATGCCCAGAACACGTGCCCTAAAAGACATTTGAGCACTGAGCAGAGCAGGAGGGGGGACGGTTCATCGAGTGAGAGCGAAGAAAAACCCAAGGGCCGTCTCAGGGTCAACTCTGATCCCCGCAGGAGGTTAAGAGCCCAAGAAGATGGTGCCCTCTGGACAGGTGAAGGATCCTCTTCAATAGTTCTTGGGTGTGTATCCCACACAAAGAGGTCCCCAACATTGGCGGAGGGACATCATGGGTCCATCAAGGGGTCCCTTATCATGGTTCCCACATGGACAAGCCACAGCAAGACGCATGTCCTCCACCACAGAGGGAAAAGCAGTGAGAGAAGTGTCTGGGATCTGCAAGGTGATGAGGCCCCCAGGCAAAAAAGCAGATGTACGAGCTCCGAGCTGGGCTGCCAATTGGCAGTTTGGGTGGTCGTCTCTGGCCTTCTTGGGAAATGGAGTGCCGCACACCCGAAGGGTTAGTTTTCTCCCAGACCCAGAAGCAGGTGCTGGCCCAAGCTCCAGGCTCTTCTGTCCCTGCAGAGGGAAGCCCCCTGGTCTCTTGTAGAGCTGGGAGGTCTGATGTCTGAGCATGGCTTCCCGGGGGCTGTCTGCATGTCCTCGTCCCCTCTGAGACACAGGAAAACGGGAGCTGCTTTTCCCTCCTTCAGAGGGGAAGACTGAATGGCTATTGAACAGACACTTTGAATTTCTTGGCTGGAACACGACATCTGCCTCGGAGATGGTGGGTTGTGGCTCCACAGTTAGGACGACATTCAAAAAGTGGAGACTGACCCGAGGAAAGAGACCAGGGTCTCTGAAGATCTGCCATGGGAGGAGCGGCTAAAGGGATTTTGCTGTTCCATCAATTTTCAGTCATGTCTGACTCTTCATGACCCCATTTGGGGTTTTCTGGGCAGAGATACTAGAGTGGTTGGTTACTTCCTTCGCCAGCTCATTTTACAGATGAGGAAACTGAGGCAAACAGGGTGAAGTAACTTGCTCAAGGTCACACAGCTAGTAAGTGTCTGAGGCCAGATTTGAACTCAGGAGGATGAGTCTTCCTGACTCCAGACCTGGTGCTCTGTGCTCTATGGTGCCCCCCAGCAGCCCCCCAAATGACTATAGCTCTCCAGAATTGGAATAAGCTGTTGGGAAGGTGGGGTGGGGTTTTCACTTACATGTCACAGAGAGGTTGCCTGTTGCGGCCCAGGTGATGTTCCATGGCCTCTGAGGCACCTTCTGATTCTGAGACTGGGGGGTTGGAAGCATCATCATTTGCCCTCCCATGAAGAGGGAAGTTGCTGTATTGTTATTGTGAATCAGATGTCACATCATTGAAACC